TGGATGGGTGGACGGATGGGATGGGTGGATGGACGGGTGGACGGGTGGACGGATGGACGGGTGGACGGATGGATGGGTGGGTGGATGGATGGATGGATGATGGATGGATGGGTGGGGGAGTGGATAAATGGATGGATGGGTGGTGGGTGCACAGATGGATGGGTGGGATAGACAGATGGATGGGGGAGTGGTGGATGGATGGGTAGGGGAGTGGAGAGATGATTGGGTAAGTTGAGTGGGCAGATGGGTGGATAACCACCCTTCACTTCAAAAGTTGCCAACAATTTGATCTCCATTTCTGGTGGCCCATGTTTCAGGGCAGAGCTGTGCTCCGAGGGTTCTGGTAGTTTTCAGAAACAGATTGCCAGGCTTTTCTCCCGAGGTGCCTCTGGGTAGATTCACACCTACAACCTCCTTAGTTAGTACACAAGTGCTTACCTGTCCCCACAGCCCAGGCCTGCCAGGTACAAGTCGACAGCCCAGGCAAACCCACCTCTAGGGCCCCCTTCAGCTCTAAAGCCCCATCGTCGGTCAGTGAGGGCTAGCAGGGGAATACCATGTCCCCACAGCTGCCACCTGGGGAGGTCCTAGGCCACCTTCCCACCTGCCCTGCACAGAGCCTTGACTTCTGGGAGTCTCATAGAAATCCAGAGGCGAGGTGTAAGTATCAAAAGCTATGTTTAATTGTAAGATTCGAACAGAAGCAAGGCCAAAAAAATAGTCCCAAAAAACCAAATGAAAGAAGGAAACTGCGGGAGAGCTCACTGCCCTGCCGGGGTCCCAGTCCCCAGCACAGCGCCGGTCACACTGCCCTATCCATGCGTAAGATGGCTTAGGTTAAGGCTTGACTCCAACTCTGAGCCCCAAAGCCCATGGAGGGCCCAACAGGGTCAAGCTGGGACTGCCCAGGTCAGCTTTTCAGGATGCCCATTAGGGTCAGCCTGGGAACACCCAGGTCAGCTTTGTGGGGGCCCCGTTGGGGACAAGCTGGGACCACCCAGGTCAGCTTTGTGGGGGCCCCGTTGGGGATAAGCTGGGAACACCCAGGTCAGCTTTGTGGGGGCCCCGTTGGGGACAGGCTGGGACCACCCAGGTCACCGGTACTTTGTTGGGGACAAGCAGGAAAGGAGAGGTGCTGCTGTCCACTCCCCCTGGAGGGCTCAGACTACCTGCATCTTGCGCTGGTATTTTGGGGTGTGCCGAAGCCTCGTACCTGGGACAGATGGGGCTGGATGCAGCCTCTGATTTAGGTCAGTGGGATCGAAACCCCGCGGGGGTGAGGCTGTGGGGGTCAGCTCACCCCGCTGTCCAGGTGCAGGTCTGTCCACTGGGGAGGGGTGCTGCGGGAGTAGTGGGTGCTGTGCTGCGCCGTGGCTCACTGGAGGGGACCGTGCACAGGGTGTGGGGTGGGGCCCCCGGTGAGGTAGAAGACAACTCATTCCAGAGGGACCCCTCGGTTCTGAGAGACAAAGGAACATGCACCCCTCACAGGCTGGGGGCTGACAAGCTACAGCGGTGGGACGGGAGGGGGCTGGGCAGGATGCTCATGACTGAAGCCGCCCAAGCAGGCTCACCGCCCCGCCCCCTGGAGTGGACCCTGAGCCCTGTGAGTCACCCGAGAGCCCCCCAGAGCCAGGACAAGGCCTCTATCCCACAGCCAGTGGCCTCCACCCCAACTTGGGCAGCCTCTGCAGAGGCCCAGCACGGACCACGCAGGGTGCCACGGAGGGGACCACGCAGGGGCCCGGCAGTGCCTTCCAGAAGGGGAGCTCTGGTCCCAGGCTAGAGAGGAGAAAGGAAAACAGAAACCTGAGGGAGAAGCAGCGTGTTAAGCACCAAGTATAAATAGGCTGACAGCTGCTGGCCGCCGCTGGCCACTCTGCTGGGATGCAGCCGGGACAAAGCCAAGTGCAGGGACTCTGGCTGGTCCGAATGGAGCGGCGTGGGAGCCGGGTCGGCCGCAGAGCGTGCGGGAGCAGGCGGGCAGCCGGCAGGGTCCTCGCCGGGTGGCATCGGCCGAGCGAGAGCACCATGTTTGGGGGCGAGGGGGCCCCCGCGTGTTTCCGCTCGTGGCGTGGTCTCGTGTTCTGTCACCGGCACGCTCAGCCGACAGCCTGTACACCTAGTCCACGGGGCCCGGCTGGGCTGTGGGTCCTGACGGGTCCAACTGGCTGTGGTCCCCAGGGTCGGGGGTCTGGTCCCAAGTGTCTGTGGTGCTGGTCTTGCCTGTGGGCTCCTGGGCAGGTGGGCTGTCAGCAGCCCCCAGCTCCTGGGGTGCACATGGTCTGGCGGGCTGCTCTCCAGAGGTGGTGGGGCTGCTGGCATCCTCACTGGACAGCGGCTGGGAGGGGGGCACGCTGGGGTCCTTGGGAGGTGGTGGGCTGTTGGCATGAGCTGAGTCCCAAGGAGGCTGAGGTAGGTCTTTCTGCAAGAGCAAAGTGTGACGTGAGAAATGCGGACAGGATGGGAGTGGGGCACACAGAGGCTGCGGCCATATGGGGACAAGGTGGGGCGCAGAGGCTGGGGTGACACACAGGGATGGGATGGGAGTGGAGTGCACACAGATACTGGAGTTACATGTGGTGAGGACGGGAGTGGGGTGCAAAGGCTGGGGTGACATGGGGACGAGGTGGGGGTGGGGCACAAGGCTGGAATGAGAGGGGGATGGGGTGGAGGGGGGGCACACACAGAGGCTGGGTGAGACACGGGGACAGGGTGAGGCGCAGAGAGGCTAGTGGTGACATGAGGGTGAGGTGGGGCCCAGAGAAGCCAGGGTGAGACAGAGGATGGGGTACACATAAACCGCCGCAGAATGACATGGGGTGGGGTACACAGAGCATGAGGGAGGGCATGAGGTCAAAGTGAAATACAACTCAGCAGCAAGCAACGGAGAGAAGGAGCTGGGTCTCGGGGCAGACGCTGGCAGGGCCAGGGCAATGTCCCAGAGGGCCCTGTGCTCAGAGCAGGCTGGGGGACAGCCCACCCACGATGTCTGCTCCTGGCCCCCAGACCCCCAAGGTCAAGGGACGAAAAACCCCACCTTTTCCAGGGTCAGAGCTAGAACACAGCACCAAGCCTGGCCAAGCCCCACTGCCTCACCCTCCACACCCCCCAGACCAGCACTTGCCAGAACAGGGACCCTCTGAGGAAGATACACATGAAAGCTAAGGAACTCTCTGGAAGACTGGGTGAGGAGTCTGCCCAGGCGAGGTGCAAAGCCCCAGCAGACGCCACATTGGACTGTCACGTCCACGGGCTGAGCACAGTAACACACACGAGCTGGGCCTCACGGGATGTGTGCGAGCTGTGTAATGTCAGGCCATCGGTGGCCGCACTGTCACTGCCAGCGCAGACCACCACCAGCGGGTAGAAGGGCAGCCTTGTGCCGGCAGGCCCAGCTGGGTCCCTAGGAAGGTCCGGAACTGGTGAATGCCAAGGCACATGGGGGACACGCCATCCACCACGTCCTGGTGGTCTTTGTTCACGTGACAGGCAGAGACTGTGGGTCCAATATGCCCCGCCCCCACCCTGCACGCTTCTGTGGGGGAAGGGGGCCCAGCCACATGGGCGCTACTGTGCTCAAGACCGTGGTCACAAGGGGTCAGCACTGGACGGGGGGAGCACGACGCCAGGCCCGCTTTGGCCACCTGGGCAGCCAGAGGCGAGGACACCACACGCGAAGCTTGGCTGAGGGACACACGTGGCAGGTACTCAACTGGAACTCAGTTAGGGCTAATTGGACACCTAGCTCTCCAGACATCCAGACAGTCATAGCAAACCGGTATTCACCGCAAAGCCGCTGCCCGTCCAGAAGGCGCCCAGCTCCCGGCGCCAGAGCGCCAAACCACAGCTGGTCAGCAGCGTGCAGGGCACCAGGTAGAGCAGGGCTGGCTGGCCTCGCTGCATCAGGGCCAGCGCCACGAACGTCACCAGGAGGCCGATGCCGTAGGCTGGGGACAGGAGAGGACACATCACCGTGAGCCAAGGCCCTCGCCAGGGTGTGCCCACCCAACCTCCGGGGGGGTATGACGCTCCCCACATGGTATCCTAACAGACTCCGGGATGCAGGGGTGGGAGGTGCAATGCGGAGGCGGGGTCAGCAGTAGTGTGCAGGGCAGAGCAGGCGGGGCGAGACAGAAATGGGCGTGGCTAGGCTTAGAAGACGGGGCCAGGAGCAGCGTGCAGAGCAGGGTGGGCGGGGCCAGGAGCAGCGCGCAGTAGGCGGGGCTAAGACAGAAATAGGAGTGGCTAGACATACAAGGCGGGGCCAGCAGCATACAGGGCGGAGTAGGCGGGGCCAGACAGAAATGGGAATGGCTAGAGATAGAACGCGGGGCAGAGTGCAGGGCAGAGTAGGCGGGGCCAGAAGTGGGAGTGGCTAGGCGTGGAAGGCAGGGCCAGAAGACTAAGGGGCTGAGTGGGCGTGACCAACAGCAGGGCTGGGCTGCTAGCACGGGGGCGTGGTTAGAAGAGAGCAAGGTGGCGTGGGGGCGTGGCTGTGGGCGTGGCCGGAGCCAGTGCCCTCAGGACAGTCTACTCTGGTCTGTTGGCCAGTTGCTGGCCACAATCACAGGAAAGCCTCTGACAGAGAAGTGGCTAGTGAGAGAGCTAGTGTATCGGAGCACCTAGCTTTAACTGGAAAAGAATGAAAAGTAATGTATGTAGGTGACTTTGTCAAATCTTAGTCTTCAGTAACTGATTTGCAGTTGTGGAAAGTTCTGGAAAAGACCATCTTTGTTCTAGAGAACAACTCTCAGAAAGAGGTTAGGGTGAAGGAAGCTTATCCTCAGATGGTGTGGCACAGAGCCCGTCCACCTGGTGAGGCGGTGAGCAGGCCAGAGCTGCCCCTCGGGCGTCCCCAAGGCCTTGGGTCTGCGGCACTCGGGGCTGGGTGACCTCAACCATAAACCTTGTGGCTGGCAGTGCCTGTAGCACCCAGGGCCCTCAGCTCTGGAGAGAAGAACCAGTATGGTGCCCCATCACGTTAGGACAGGGGCAGGGTCCTTTCTCACTTCGTAGCTGTGACCCTGGAGAGCTGCCAGGAAGGAGGGAATCTTCTGGAACATCTCCTGCTTGCCGTTGCCACCTCCAACCCTTAGCCACTTTTCCCGCTTCTCACAGACACGTTTCCAAATTTTTTTTTCCATTTCAATTAGAAACTTTTACTAAATGAGAAAACTGCATTTAAAATGTGCTTTAAAACAAAACAGGATTAAAAATAAAGATGTATGCATTTTAGAGAACTTTGCAGTGTGTTAGAATCAAATATCTCCTGCAGTAAATACGATGTGCCAATTCAAAAAACTTTAAACATGTTTCCAAATTTTATCACAGAGTTCTTATCAACTTTGGACTTCCGTGAATCCTCACCAAAGACAACAGAGAAGACAAAAACGTCTTCTCCCTGCGAAGACCTACAGTCTCGAGCCCAGAATGCCCAGTTTCGGCCCAGCTCCAAGCAAAGCAGCAGCTCTCCCGGAACAACGGTTCGGCCTGCCAACCGCATCAGCAGGGTGAAGCCGCTAGCGGCCGTCTGCTCCAGAAAGGCAACAAACTTTGCAGGGCAGGCCTGTCACACGGGGTCACTGGGAGCTGAGGCCGCCTTGAGGACAGCTAACAACTGAGTCTCTAAAAAAGACAGGGCTAAGGGTGGTCAGAGGGGCTGAGGGAGAGAGGGCCACGAAGGAGTGACCTGCAGTGACCCAGAAACACACCACTAGGTCAGCTTGACCTCCTGACGCTGCCAGGGGGCATCTGAGGCTCTCCTGACAACAGGCATCAGGGAAGACGGGCCCCCAGCCTGCGCACCCCCTAGTTCAGGGCAGGAAGGGGTGAAGGGGGGGCCGTGGGCCGGGTCCTTCTGCAGAGGGAGCGGAGGTGCGTGTGCGTGCACGAGTGGACCTCTGTGAATGTGGGTGTGCGTGCGTGTGCTCTCCCTAAAAGCTAGCGGGTTTTGTGAAAGCAGGATTCATGCTCAACAGAAACACTTCCGTGTAAACGACCCTGATAACAAGAAACCAAATCATAAAGAAACATCAGAAAAAAAACAGAAATTCTGTAACAGTGACAAGTGGGGTGTATGTGAGGTGGGCCATGTGTATTTCAAAAGGTGGGGGTGGGGTGGGGGTGTGTTTCAGGTGGACTATGAGGACAGTGGAGTGTTTCAGGGGGTGGTGGGGTGTTTTGGGTGGACTATGAGGCAAATGGGGTATATTTCAAGTGGACAATGAGATAAGTAGGGTGTGTTTTAGAAGATAGGGTAAGGTGGCTGTGTTTCAAGTGAACTATGAGGCAACCTGGGTGTGTTCTGGGTGGACCATGAGGCGAGTGGGGTGTTTCTGGTGGAGGTGGGGTGAGGGGGTGTTCTGGGTGGAGGTGGGGTCAGGACATAAAGGGGGAACATGTGTCTGGACCTGGGCAGCCATGGGCACTTACCAATAGTGCAGGCCACGAAGTAGACGCGGGAGGACTGCACCTGGATGTCGAACCTGTGGCAGTAGGCCACCAGCAGCCCTGGGGAGAGGGGGGCTAACTGAAGGACGGGGGGACGGGGCTGACCACACAGCAGTGGCTGATCCGGGCGCTGAGCTGACCTGGTGTCACTCCCAGTGGACGGAGGCGTGTAGCCAGGGGCAGGCTCATCAGGGGCGCAGTGACTGAGGCCACCAAGGACTGACTCTGAGGGCTCATGGGACTGCAAGGGGCCCTCCCTGGACACCAGGCCAGTGTCCACCAGGGTGAGGACCGGGCCTGGCCCAATCCCACTCTGTATCTTCGCTCCCACCTCCAATGTCCTCGTGGTCTGTCAGGGGCATAAGGCCTACCTGGCACCAAGATGTCCCCAAAGCCCAGGAGGGAGAAGGGCCTGTCACATAAGGCCAGTGGGGACGTGTTCAGTCTGGGCACCTTCAGGACCATGGGCAGCTGTGGGGTGGGGACAGCTTAGAGCTCCAGACCTCCCAGACACAGGCCTCAACACGCCCTGCTGCCTCCCTACCCCACACTGGACAGAAGACCCACCTTCTCGTGTGTGGCTGAGTCCAAGGGGCCTGTGGCCACCTCCACCATGATGCTGTTCCCACTCTAGAGAGGAAGGCCTGAGTCAGGATGGGGGCATGGGGGGCAGGGTGGGGATGGCTCAGGGGAGCTGGAGAGGCCTCAGGGTGTGGCAAGAGTTGAGGGGAAGGGGAGAGTCGGGAGGTAGTGGGAAGGCTCTAAGGGAGGGCTGGAGGTTCTAGGGGGTTCATGGGGCTGGAGGTTCTGGGGGTTCACGGGGCAGGAGGTTTTGGGGGTTCACGGGGCAGGAGGTTTTGGGGGTTCACAGGGCAGGAGGTTTTGGGGGGTTCACGGGGAGGAGGAGGGGTTCATGATATTGGGGCTGGAGGTTCTGGGGGTTCACAGGGTGGGGCAGGGGTTCACAGATTGGGGTGGAGGTTCTGGGGGTGGTTCCCAGGCTGGGGGATGCTCACCTTAGTCAGGAAGGGGGTGATGAAGACGAAGAAGACGTCGTAGATGAACAGCACCACCAGCAGCAGCGTGCAGGCCTGGAGACCACACGGGCGTCAGGGCGGGGACTCGGGCCCGGGCTGGACCCTCGAGCATCCCTGCAGCCCCGGCCTGACCCTGGGCAGACACCACCTCCACACCACATGCCCGCTGCTCCCTGGCCCGACTTCATGGGAGCCTGGGAACCTGGCCGGGGCTCAGAGTGGGGGTGCTGAGTGCTGGGGACAGTGAGCGAGGAGGGCGCTGCCTGGACTGCCCTCTGACCTTGAACGTGGAGAGGCGGATGGTCTTCAGCATGTAGAGGCAGAAGGTGATGCCCAGAGCATCTTGCAGGACCCAGGCCCACCTGGGGGACAGAGTGGCATCAGCGCCGGGCCCAGGCCGGGCGGGGGTCTGAGACATCCTTCCTCAACCAAGACCAGGAGCTGCGGGGCTCAGTGGCGCGTCTGTGAGACCCAGAGTGAGGAGGGGTGGAGCAGGCGCCCGGGAGTGAGAGTGGAGGGTGTGGCTCAGAGGCAGCACAGGACACAGCCCAGGGGACATGCCCACACCCCTGGTTTGCACTCAGGCACCCCCTGAGTCCAGGTGGGACTGGAGAGAGACTGGTGCACACCTGCCAGCACAGGTCCTTCAGATGCCATGCGGAGCTCTGAGAACCAGCCAGGGTCCCTGAAAAATGGCCTGTGGAGACCTAAGGGAGGTCCCCCAACTTGGGTCCCTGGCCAGAGAGCCACGGTCTGGGCCGCAGGCATGGAGCAAGAAGGGGAGGCAGCCAGGTCTGAGCTCTGCGGCAGAGTGGGCCTGGCCGGGTTCACGTGAGGGCTCGGCTGTTTGTCTACAAAGATTTTCCCACTTCCTCCTGCCAGGCCCGTGATGGGGCTCCAGCAGCTGGCAGCGCCCCGGGGTGACCCAAGGGGAGGGGGTGTGGCTCACGGCAGAGATGCCTCACTAAAGGCTCTAAGAGGGGGCAGGAGGGGCCGGGGCACCAGGCACATGAGGAGGGGGCAGGGCAGGCAGCTCTCGGCCCCGCCAGCCCCCCCACGTGGACACCCCAGAGGCCACAGCCCAGGCGCCTGTCGGCAGTCAGGTGGCGTCTCCCAAGCAGATCCCAATCACTCGTGGCACCGGACAGCCCCGGCCCTGTCCAGCCCACATGACAGCGCCGTGACTTCCTGGGCCGGGGCCAGCGCCAGAGACCACAGTGCAGCCGTTGGGAGGAGGGGTGTTTTAAGTGAAGGATGACAAGGCCCAGGCTGCCAAAGGGGTGGGTAGGGGCCTGGTCAGGGTACCTGAGGACAGTGTCCCCTCACCCCGTCCCAGCCACACTCACTGGTCCTCATTGCGGAAGACGCCCCACACCACGCTGACGGTGACACAGGCCAGCGCCAGCAGCAGCATGCGGATCTGGGGACGCTTGTGGAAGTAGGGCAGGTTGTTGTCCGGGACCCTGTAGGCGAGTGGGGGTGAGCCTGGCCTTGTCCAGGGAGTTGCCCCATGTCCACCAGCATCACGACACCACCACCAGAGCCTAACTCTCCTGCCCTGGACTGGACAGGCTGAGCAGGTGGGAGGTGCCGGCTCACCTGCACCCGCCGATGGGCAGCCTGCGGACCAGGGGCGCCAGGCAGCTGTAGAGGCCAGTGGACGAGGCCAGGCAGAAGATGCTAATGACAATGTAGACTGCGGTGGGCAGAGGAGCGTGAGCGCTGGGCGCGCTGCCCGCTGGCCGCCCCCACCTCTGCTGGGACAGGCCGCGCGGCTCAGTGATTACAGGCAGGGTGGCGGCAGCCTGAATGGGCCCTTGTGTGGCCGCCACCCCAGGACAAGGCCTCCATTCACCGCCCACGGCACCAGTCAAGTAGAAACCCTGGGTGGAGGGGCCTGGGTCTACCTGCTGGGTGAGGAGGCCCCTGTGGACGGCAGGTCCTAGGGTCGGGGTCCCGGGGTTGGGGGTCACAGGGTCGTGGTGGGGCCCCTGTGGACGGCAGGTCCTGTGGATGGCAGGTCCTGGGGTCGGGGTCCCAGGGTTGGGGGTCCCAGGGTCGGGGTGGGGCCCCTGTGGACGGCAGGTCCTGGGGTCAGAGTCCTGGGGTTGGGGGTCACAGGGTCGGGGTGGGGCCCTGTGGACGACAGGTCCTGGGGTTGGGGGTCACAGGGTCGGGGTGGGGCCCTGTGGACGGCAGGTCCTGGGGTTGGAGTCCTGGGGTCGGGGGTCCTGGGGCCGCAGGGTCAGGGGTCGCGGGGTCGGGGCGGGACGCACCCAGGTGGTCATAGAAGAAGTACAGCAGCACCAGCATGGAGCAGCACATGACCACAAACATGCAGATCATAATGGGCGTCACGTCCACCGCCTCGTCCTCCTGCTTCTCCGGCCCGTCGTCCCGCTTGTGCTTCATGAACCTCCTGGGGGAACGCAGGGCGGGGACAGGGTAGCCCCGTGCAGTGCCGGGGACGTGGGTGCACGCCCTGACCTCAAAGCACCCCGTCGCCCAGAGCACACGCGCACACACGCTGAGGAAGCACTCGGGTGCAGGTGTGCGGCTGTGCCCCCGACGGAGTCCCCAGAGCCAGGTTCCGGGGGTGGACACCGCGCTTCTCAGGATCCTGTCCTTCCACGCACGTGCATGTGTGTTCACCACCAACTCCCATCGCCAGTTCCCACAGTGGGAGAGGGGACAGGCACACCTCATGAGGACACGTGCACACACGCTCCCATGTCCCCCGGCGTGAAGTGGGCAGGCATACCACAGATGTGCATGCACACTCATCCTCTTGTCTCACAGCGGAGGGCGGGCACACTATGTACACACACACACACA